AAGTTTCTCCTTAGTTCTAGATTGCTTCTCTCCTTGATCAGTTTCCACCCGTTGCTTCTTGTCCTGCCTTCAGGCACCTTGGAGAATAGCTTGACTCCCTCTTCTTTGTGGCAGCCCCTGAGATATTGGAACACTGCTATCATGTCCCCCCTCGTCCTTCTCTTCGTTAAACTAGACATACCCAATTCCAGCAACTGTTCCTTATATGTTTTAGCCTCCAGTCCCCTAATCATCTTTGTAAATAACAACTGCAATAGAGGAGTCCTTTCTTACAAATATGCTTGATAGGGCAACTNACTGCTATCATGTCCCCCCTCATCCTTCTGTTCGTTAAACTAGACATACCCAATTCCAGCAACCGTTCATTATATGTTTTAGCCTCCAGTCCCCTAATCATCTTTGTTGCTCTTCTCTGTACTCTTTCTAGAGTCTCAGCATCTTTTTTACATCGTGGTGACCAAAACTGGATGCAGTATTCCAAGTGTGGCCTTACTAGGGCATTGTAAAGTGGTATTAATACTTCACATGATCTTGATTCTATCCCTCTGTTAATGCAGCCCAGCACTGTGTTGGCTTTTTTGGCAGCTGCAGCACACTGCTGGCTCATATCTAAATGATTGTCCACTAGGACTCCGAGATCCCTCTCACAGTTACTACTATTGAGCAAGGTACCCCCACCATTTCAAACAAATGGCTGTCCAGTCTCTTCTTAAAAACTTCCAGTGTTGGAGCATTCATCGCTTCTGGAGGCAGGTTGTTCCACTGGTTAATTGTTCTAACTGTCAGGAAGTTTCTCCTTAGTTCTAAGTTGCTTCTCTCCTTGATTAGTTTCCACTCATTGCTTCTCGTCCTGCCTTCAGGCGCCTTGGAGAATAGCTTGACTCCCTCTTCTTTATGGCAGCCCCTGAGATATTGGAACATGCTATCATGTCCCCCCTCGTCCTTCTCTTCATTAAACTAGACATACCCAATTCCAGCAACCGTTCCTTATATGTTTTAGCCTCCAGTCCCCTAATCATCTTTGTAAATAACAACTGCAATAGAGGAGCCCTTTCTTACAAATATGCTTGATAGGGCAACTATGTCCATTCTTCAGCCAGTGAGATTTAGCTATAGCTAAACACATCTTGATGACATCTCATCTTGATTTAGTATAGTGAATGTTATGTGGAGCTGAACTTGAAAAGTATTCAGAAACTGCAGTTTGTACCAGTAGCAGAGGTTGGGCTATCCCAGGGGTAGGCAACCTTGGCTCTTTTATGACTCGTGGACTTCAGCTCCCAGAATTCCTGAGACAACATGGCTGGCTCAGGAATTCTGGGAGTTGAAGTCCGCAGAGTCATAAAAGAGCCGAGGTTGCCTACCCCTGGGCTATCCAAACACAATGCAATTTGTGCTATCAACTTTTAAAGACTCAAACAACTTAAAACTACTATTTCAGGAATTCTTCTGAACCATCTTGTTATGAACTATCTAGTTCAGGGGTAGGCAACCTCGGCTCTTTTATGACTCATGGACTTCAACTCCCAGAATTCCTGAGTCAGCTATGCTGACTCAGGAATTCTGGGAGTTGAAGTCCCTGAGTCATAAAAGAGCCGAGGTTGCCTACCCCTGATCTAGTTGCTAAAGTCTGCAAGAGAGATTCTTGTTTTTAAGACATTCCATTATCAGAGGCTAGTCATTTTAGCCTGAGGGAAAGTATCTTTCTCTGTGTTGCTCCCTGGATAATATTTGCTTAGCTGCTGCTCTCTTGGGGTTTCAAAAATCTATATCAGATATATTTTTAAATCTAGCTTTTAAGTATTAATTGGTTTTATTATTGCTTTCATGTTAATTTTATCATTCTGTTTTTATATTATTGATTCATTTGACCAAAATATCAAATCTGCCCTACTTCTTGAACGACTCAGGGTGGCTTACAAATAAAAGCAATTTTGAATAAGGAAAAATGCCACCAATAGAATACCAACTATAAATCACCCACAACAGGGCTCAACAATAATCCAATGCCCAAGGCCTGGGAGAATCACCAAATCTTCAACAATTTTCAAATCAACATAAGGCTGAAGCCACATGAATTTTGGGAGGAAACCAGATGTGTAAGAAAGGTAGATGTGTAAGAAAGGAGGTGCTCTTCCTGGGTCCCATAAAATGACATTGCATAATTGCTGAAACCTAGAATATACCCACCCTGCTGGACCGTACCAGGCGGGCAGGGATGGCTGAAGATACCTGATCCCTCAGATAGCCAGGTTCTAAGCTGTAATGAGTTTTAAAGATGATAACCAGCATGAATTGTATCCAGAATTGGAGTCACATGTACACAATATAGTGCCCCCCAACACTTCCTGCACCAGTTCCCAAACCAGCTGTGGCTTCCATATGGTCTTTAAAGATAGCCCCATGCAGAATTCTTTACAATTATGCAGTCATGAAATGAGCAGGGTGTGATTGACTATCTGAAGAACCTCTCAGTCCAGGAAAGTAGGCAATTGGTAACTAATTGTACTTGTGTAAAGGTCCTCCTGGCCTCAGTTTCAAGCTGCTCTATAGCAGGATTTAAAAAATCTAAGAGGACCCCCAGATTACACACAAATTTCAAATGGGGAAGGGCAATCCCACTGAGGGTCAACAATGGAATATCTCTGGATCTGGGGACCCACACCAACACAGCCACTTAGTTTTGTCAGGACTGAGCTTGAGTCTGTCTTCCTCATCCAACCTCCATACACTAGATCAGGGGTCTTCATTTATGACTTGTGGACTTCAAGGCACGCTGGCTGAGGAATTCTGGGAGTTGAAGTCCACAAGTCATAAAAGGGCCAAGTTTGAAGACCCTTGCACTAGGTTAATACCTGGCCAGCCTAAGGTCAAAACATACAGCTGGATATTATCAGCATATTGGTAATACCTAAACCCAAACTCTTGGAAGTTCTATGCTGTCTCTGAACCACACCAAACCTCTTTAGCATCATACTGCTCCTGGAGTGATTTAGCAATTTCTAGAAAAAAATTGTCAGCTGTTAGGTCAACCTCCTGCAATTACTTTCAGTTCAGAGAATTTACCTTTGTAAACCACTCAACTGCCAATTGCCATGGTGTAGAGGAGGTTAAGCATGGTCCAGAGAGGAAAAAAGAATGTCACAGATTTCTCCAAAATGTTTTGTTCATGAATAGCAAAATACTGCATATCCTTACTGTTGATGGAATTGAAAAAGTGGCTAACATTAAACAGTGACAACAAATGGCATTGTGCTGAATTGCAGAAGTATCAAATTCTTCATTTTCCACTACATGCCTGGATTATTATTATTTTTGCTAATAATACCTTTTCCCAAACCCAAGTCTCAGCATCTATCCATACGTTTGATATAGAGAATCTCAGTTTTTTTTCTGATATACTGAATTATGTATTATCTTAATTACAAATATTGTGTTCTTGTGCAATCTAATGTCATCCAGGACAAAGTAGCCTATTGGTCTGATTCTTTCTTCCTGAGATTAGCGTTATCATTATTCTGTATCAACAAAGTTCATTCTAAGGGATGTGTAGGCATTCTAGATCAGACAGTCACAATGCAGAAATTTGTGGTTTTCACATCTTTTCAATTAGATTTGACAATGACAGCTGTGAGAAATGATGATAATTCTGCACTGTACTCCAAGTTTCTATGAACTTTTGTTCTATCTTGTGCAGAATATTCTTGTCTCTAGTTGACAATAATCTTATTCCTCGCCATATATACTAATCAGTGTTTTCTGGAAGTATTACTCTTTGTCCTCCTTTGCAACTTGTATGTCGGTGTATGGGTGTATTTGTGTATGTGTGTGTGTGTGTATTCCAATGCTGTTTGTAATGACATAGCTTGAAGAAAATTAATTACACAATGTCTTTTTCTTTCTTTCATTCATTTTAAGCCTGCTGCAATCAATCAAGTTTGAACAGGTTACAACTGGAAAATTTATGTGGCACAGAGGTTGCCTTATTTTTCCACTCTGTAAATCTGTTATGGGAATCTTTCCATTCTCTTGGAAGTGGGCAAGGGAGATGGAAGCAGTACAACATGAATTAGGAGAGTGGAGAGAGGGAGGAGGAAAAGAGAAATACAGGCATTCAAAGTAATTAGGAGGAGAGATCAAGGGTAAGAAAGTATCAGATCATTTAAGGATAAAGTCAGGTTTTTAAGCTCTTCTTTCCTTCACATTATATTTGGTGTTCTTTCTTTTCAGTGATGGAAAATTTAGCGCCCTAAAACATGCAGTCCTATTTTTTTCTTTCTCTACCGCTCAGCAAACATCAAACTCACCCTCTATTTCTGCACTACTGTTCCAGGGGACCTCGGAATGTATGTCATGTTTAGATACCTGGAAACATGTACTACTGAATATAGCTGTTAAATTTGAATAGAAATTTATAAGAATACATTATTAGTGACCTTAAACCACAGACTCAATTTCAGATGAATCCCTCTATTCTTTACAAGGACTTCGATCAACTGGGTCACTATGAAGTTCTTTGGAGAAATGCATATATGAAGTGCATATATTTAAGAGTATTACATACTTCTCAGTATGATTATCTCTTCATAATTCAAAGGGAGGAATTGATAAAAATATAGCAATAACCTTAGAATAGTTTTGTATAATCTATGATCTTCCAAATAACTTATACCTTCTAAAATGCTCAGCCAGTAAGGTTAGGAGTCATGCTAACGCTAATCCAGCACATCTGAAAATATCACATTAATGAAGTTTGCCTATTGAAAAGGGAAATGAGATATCTGTGAATTTGAAAACAGTATTTAAAATATTTTCTTTTATTTTTCAGTGGAATAATATAAAAGTAGAATGGAAAGAAGTACAAACGGACAAAACATTTTTAGAATAAAAAAGGAAAAACCAACATGTACTGTGAAAAACCAAGGAGGAAGATTAAAAATCCTTTAAAAAAACATTCTTGTCTCTGTTTCCTCTTCAAAACAAATAAATATTTACAAAAATCACAGATTATAACATAATTTTATTGACAATTACTTTACAGGGCTTTTCTCTGTGGGGAGTAAGATGTCCCTAGCTAGTGTAGTGAAACTACCAGAGAATAACTTCCTCATAATATTCTATACATATAAAGCCTCAACCCGTATTTCAAAAAAAAATTACAGTAATTGAGAGAAGCTAAGCCTATGGAATATTACTATACTCTTATTTACTGGCTATTGTACTTCAATATTTAAGCAAGTATCAAAATCATGGGCATCTGCGTAAGCTGTTCAAAGAATAAACTGAAAAGGGAAAAAAATCACTAATGATCAATACAATAATCCAAGTTGTGGAAAAGAAGATCTTCTATCTCACTTTGAATGTAATCTTAGTGAGAAAGTGAAAATTCCAAAAAAGAACGACCTCTGAACTGCTGCAACCAATTTGTTTGGAAAAGACCTGATAGAACAATAGAGCCAAGCTCTATTTATGAAAGATAAAGATGTTTCAGACTACAGCAAGACACTAATAAAAAGTATGAGATTACACTTTGAAAATATCAGAGCCTAAAAAAGTCCTCAAAAGATTCACAAAGGAAAATTCAGCCTTGAACACAAAAATAGGTCATTCCATCCTGAAAGTTACTGTAAGTTTGTAACATAAAAAAAAAACACCAAGGGCTGGAATTTTGGAAAGGTCACAGTTCACTGTCCCATTTTTAAATAGCTAACTTATTTACCTCAGTTTCTTCACCAAGTCCTCACTAGTTACAAAAGTCATTTTCCCTTCTGTCACTGTAATCTCATTCGTTTCTCTGGTGGTCCTTTAGCAGAAGTGCTCTGTTGTGTGGTCTTTGCAGCTTCCTTCTCCTCTTGTTTTACAGCTTCAGGTGCTGGCTCTGATTCTTTCTTAATCTGATCCACTGGGAAAAAATAAACCACATAAAGTCTCATTCTAACAGCCTTACATGTCTCATTATCAGTACTATGAGATATTTCCTAATGCTAGACTTCACTGAAAGAATCACCTCGATTTTTACCAGTAAGTACTAGGAACAAATTCAGTTCCATTATCCTATACCTGAAAGCAAACCATTTCATTTAGCAAAGCAATGCAGAAATGACAGCTACGGGAAGAAAAAAGCCCTTAATTCCACCCCCCCTATTTTCAAGTGGCCTTCTCTTTACCTAAAGCCACCCTTGCAATTCAAAATTGCCAGAACAGACTGCTTTTGAATTGCTACGTATAGATTTTCTTTTCCTTTGAGAAAATAATAATTTCCTGCTCTTCGGATGGCATAGGGAAAAAAAAGATTGAAGACTGGGAATTCTTTAAGATCCAAGTTACAGAAAATCTACTAGCACAAAATGATACGCATAATGACCAACTTGGACAAAACTATCTTCTCAAGAGCCTGAATTAAAACTAATCATATATATTTGCTGGAGTTGGTCTCATTTAAAAACACGGACTAGATTCTTACCTGGGACTGGTTTTTCTCCAGATTTTTGCTGTGAACAAAGAGAGAAAAACCGAGTCATTAGTCAAAAATGCACATCTTGGATGCTGGTATAGATATAAGATTGCATTTTCTTACTAAACATTGCCCAAATGGAGAATAAGAAATGTTGGTTGTAATCTATCTAGATAACCGTATTCAGGATTAACACAGCAAGTCACACAAATGGTTGTCACATAGAAAATGGATTTAATATACATTGCCCAAGAAGCAGGACCAGAACTAGTAAGTTAAAATTACAATGAAGTCTGTTTAGGATAAATGTCAGACAAAACTTTCTAATTATACAAGCTAGCAGCCAGTGGAAAAGGCTATTACATTAAGTGATGAGTTCTTATTGCTGGAAGCCTACACAAAATATTATAACCTGGGACGGAGGGCATAGCAAAAGAGTGTTTCATATTATTATAGAATTGGAAAGAACCTTAGGGTTCATCTAATTTCCTGTTCAGTACCGATTCCCTTAGAGCATCTGACAGGATTTAAATTAGTTAGGAGATTATATCACTTTTAAGATCTCTTTCAACTCTAAAATTCTATGAAATATTTTTCTGCTATGCTATTCATCTATAAGGTCATCTATGAATATGATTATTGTCATCTCAGTGCCACATCCTGGTTTGAAACTCAACTGAAAAGGGTCCAGATAATAATTTCCTTGAGGTCCCTCTAGAGTTGCAAACTGAATGTTTCCTCAACAACCTTCTCTTTTGAAGTTGGAGAGGATGAATATTCTCCAGAATTGTTGAGTCCAGGAATGGGGTGTTTTTTGTTTGTTTGTTGAGAGGGAAGAAACCCCCCCACCCAATTTAAGAACTGGCAGAAACACATTCTCTCACACAAGTCATCTCTTGTCCACAGCCTGAAGATCCCATCCAATTCTTTGGGACCAACAGTCTCAAACTCTTTTCATACTAGATTGAGCATCAGTCAAACTCAAATGACCTGCAACGCCCAAGTCCAACTCCGAGCAGGACTTGAACAGTTTTGACAAAGTATCTCATTATAGCAAAGAAGTAGTTTACTATTTGACTGTTACCTGCACAAACTTAGGGGGAAATTTTTGTCTCAGATCTAGAAGTAATGCATCCACCCGTTGCCTCTGGAAAATAGAGCTTGGTTCCTCCTTCTTCTTTGTTTTTGGTTTGGCTTTATCTGAAAATAAAATTATTGGGGATCATAATGAAAGCATATCAACTTTTTGATATCATAACTTATAAGCATAAGGAGGAACCTAATTCTAGTTATTTAGAAATGAAACTCAGATGGATGCTTTTGGTATTCTGCAATTCGGGTGAAATAGGTATGGCTTTGATCAATTCGCATTGCAACATATACTGCTTAGGGGCTACAGGAAAAAAATTAATAGCTGGCAGAAAATGATCATTCTGATTTTGACAGCTCTGGGTAACTGAGAATACATTTTACAACAGTTAAGTACTAATGGAAGAACCTGCCACCATATACAGAAATATTATACTGATATGCAATATTTCTGGAATGAGAGCCAAAGTCACTTAGTAATTAAGGTGTTGGATTAAAAGCAGCGAGGCCCAAGTTCTAAACCAAGCTTAAGCACAGAAACCAGCTGGGTGGTTAATTAATTAAGACAGACACTTCCTTTCAGACCTTATTAGGCTCTGTGGACAACCCAGCCCCCCCAAAAAAAATTTCCCCTTCCCCCATGCAGACTAATAAGTTTTGCTATGTGATCTAGGCAAGCACGGTGCCCAAAACCCAGAATCTGCAACCAAATGGGAAAAATGCAATGAAGAACACAATGACACTTCCTGGAATACTTTACTCATTCTGTATTCTATTGTTTACAAATATAAAGTGACAGTAACATTAACTGAATTTCACTGAAGTATACGGACCAAGACCAATCACATCATCCCTAAGGAACAGGGAAAAATACATTTTGAAATCTAGAGTTCCAGGTATCTTACCTCGTTCCTCTTGATCTTTGAAATGCCACCAATAACCTTTGGAGGGGTGATAGCGACAATAAGACATAGCTTCCTCAAAAGCCGACTGGATTCCGTGTACCGCAGAGAGCTGGACAATATAAATTTGTAAGCAAATACGTGATTTCTCACTTGGTACAGTACTTCAGCCAGCCAAATGGGCCAATTCACAACATATATTTTTCACACATAGCTCAATATTCTAAAGCTTTGTTCTGATACAATTTCCCATTACGTCGTTACAAATGAGGATGGAAGTCGGGCAAGTCAATATATGGAGACTAAAAGGAGCAGAGAGAGCAATATCCTAACCTTCCTAACAGACATGAGATAAAGTAGGACTGATAATCTGTCCTCAGACTAATTTTGTATGATCTCTGATCTAGTTTTAAAGCCCCAATGCAATACAGGAGCTCAGTATAGACCTCTGACAAGACCTATCTAACCATCCCTGCAGCATGATGCTAAAAGAAATGAGGAAAAAAGACACCAGAAAGAAAAGTGGGGGAAAATGTTATCAGACAAATAGGTGAATGCGCTCATTATGACTCTGATTTCATATAACATGCAGCCTCCAGCAATCGTCTCTGGAAGGATCGATGAAATAAAGGCAATCTGATTACTTATTCATATTTTTAAACGATGTATATGGCCAGCCGTCATATAAAACACAACTTTAGGTGATTCATTGAAGTAATAAAATTAAACACAAAGAAGCCAGGTGCCTGATCCACAATCTCAAATCCACTTAACCATATAATACTCATGATCCAACCTCACACTGACCCAGTGTCTATGGGAAAAACCAACCCTTCACAATCTTCCGGAAGGCTAAAAGGAGAGGAGCCTGCCAGATCCCAGGGGAAATGATGTTTCATAGACTTGTCAGATGCTATATTTTTTCTATCCTGCTCTATGGAGTAGAGAGTTGGTCTCTGCCAGAAGGCCACCTGAAGAGAATAGAAGCATTTGAAATGTGGATTTACAGGTGGCTGTTACGTATAAGCTGGGTTGACAAGATCAGAAATTAGGAGGTGATAAGCCGCCTGGGAAAGCCAAGGGAAATCATCAAAACAATTAAAAAACAGAAATTAGAATATTTCGGACATGTGATGCGACACCCAGAAAAATACGGCATACTCCATTTAATCCTCCAGGGAAAGATTGAAGGCAAACGAGGTCCAGGCAGAAGAAGAACATCGTGGCTTCAAAATCTAAGGGACTGGTTTGGACAAAACTCAGCAGCACTTTTTCGTGCGGCTGCTGATAAAAACAGGTTCGCCAACATGATCGCCAACGTCCGATAACGGATATGGCACAAGAAGAAGATAGATTACTACAGAAAAAGCTCACTTCCTCAGTCTCATTAGATGACAATATTTAAAGGAAAGGACATGAAGGTATAGCCTGTGAAGCAGGCCAATATTTCCAGAGAGAGCTTGAGCAAGACCACACATTAGTCAGAAGAAGTACAGATTGCAACTATTTCACAACTAGATCATCTTCAGCAATCCTTCCTGAGATGTTTCCACCTTCTGTGATTAGGCAAATAGCTACCCTTGAGAAAACTATTTAAGCCAGCGGTCCCCAACCTTTTCAGCTTGGCAGCCCGGCATGTGGGGTGATAGTTCTGTGTGACTGGTAGGTGTGCACATGCACAAGCACCCGCCGCTCGCGCGAGTGGAGCGTGTGCGAGCGCAACTATCCGCCGCTCATGAGCGCAGCTCCACTTGCGTGAGCAATGGGCACTTGCGAAGCTCCACTCGCAGGAGCCTGCTGCTCGCGTGAATGGAGCTGCACACCTGAGCATAAGCACCGGCCGCTCACGTGAGTGGAGCTGCACATGCATGTCCACTCACAAGCCACTCACACTGCCCTGTTCCAAACCGGCCATGGCCCAGTAGTGGCTCATGGCCTGGAGGTTGGGGACTCCTGATTTAAGTGACACTGTCCTTTTTATGGGGGAAATACCAAAGTTAAATCTTGGCAGAGAGAGTTTTCTATCATGTATGGTATTAGTATATAGTCTAATATAATTCAGAAATTTCATTTTTCTCCCCGGGGTTACATTTTTATAGAAAATATTTTTTCCAGAAAAATAAAACTTTCAGAAGCTTACAAAGAACCAGAAACCAAACTAAATGTTTATGGGCATTTCTTTTATTCTAATAAAACAAGTGTCACAGAAACTTACCACTCTTGAGTTTACAACTGACCCCAAGTCAGGTGCCTGATAAATTACTCCAGCAATAATGTAGTAATCAGCCAATGGGATAACTTTAAAAGAAGCACAGCATTAGTCAACCAATCTGTTCTAGATATATAATAAGTGCAATTGCTTCATTTATAAAACAGTATAAAACAGTAACAAAATTGAAATAAAGCTAGTTTACAAGAATATTTAAAGCCTACATCCTCCGCAGCCTTTCTTTTATGGCCATGCATTTAAAACTACTTCAGTGTAATAAAACAGTAATATATAAATTCTCCAAATTCTGCTTCCACTAATCAGATGCAGAAATAATCGGTCTTGCACTTCAAAAATAATAGTGATAGATATTTAAAATGCAGAAAGATAGAACAAACATGGCCAGATAAAAATCTTAACTGTAATAACATCAGATATGTCTTAATCATAAGAAGATACCAGTGTGGCCTCAAAAAGGAATCTTCTTGAAGACAAAACACATTTTGTTACCCATATTGCATTTTACCACAAGAGGGCATTCTCTTATTGTTGAAAAAAAAAAAAAAAAAAAAGTTAGCGTCAAAGCCAGCTTCCAACACTATCTACATGTCCTCCATAGCAAATACTATTATTTCAAATTGGGTTAGACAGTAGGAGATAATAGAAATCTAACACTTTTAGAGGGCCCCAGTTTTTTTTTTTTAAAAAAATTAAACATTTAAAAAGAAGACATAACAATACAAATTATCAGAATGAATAGCATTGTTTCTGGTTCTATTTTTAAACAACATTTAAAAAGAAGACATAACAATACCAATTATCAGAACAAATAGCATTGTTTCTGGTTCTATTTCTTCTTCTACTGACATAATGAAAAGGAGTAACTTCCTTGCTAAAAATATGAGTACCGTATTTTCCGGCGTATAAGACAACTTTCTAAACCCTGAAAATCTTCTCAAAAGTCGGGGGTCGTCTTATACGCCCAGTCGTCTTATACGCCGGAAAATACGGGTATTCTATTTTATTCTTTTACACATGTGGTTTGGCATATTACTCATCAAGTTTTCTCTCCCCCCCCCCTCTCGCTCAAACTCTATATTTTAACTGGGAAAGTTGGGGGTCGTCTTATACGCCCAGTCGTCTTATACGCCGGAAAATACGGTATACTGTATTTTATTAGAACTATGCAGCTTGTCCAGACAAAACAAATAGGTAGAGCTGTGAGGCAAGATGGGAGCACTGGAGAATAACATACAATGTTAGTTTAGGTTTACAGAATCAAAAGAACTGAAAGAGGTAATTTAGGTCACTGTGGAACTCAGTGCTCCATGCAAAATGAAAGGGGACACCTAGTCCACCACTCTATATGGAAGTAGTATGCCTGCACAGAGAAAATCTGTATCACTGGCAAGATTCCACAACATCCAGATGTTTGGAAATCAGCTCCCCAAATTCTCCAGCCACCCTGGCCATTGATTAAAAAAAATATCTTGGAATTGATCTGTCTGAAGAACATGCAGACTGGGAAAGGCTGGTCATAGGTTACGCTCTACGTTCTAAATAGGACAGCTGTCTACATCCTTACCTTGTGTTGGGTTCTGTCTTTGCTGCTTACGGATGATGAAAAGGATTGGCTCTTGTGCATGTAGAAGAATGTATTCTACTCCAACCATTTGACTGAAAGATAAAAGGGCAGAGCTAAATCTAGAGGCAAAAAACAATCACAGACGCTATAAAAACTAAAACTATAAACTATCTTAGTGTAGAGGGAAAGAGGTAATCTAAAACTCATTAAGCGGTGAGTAATTTCTTCTTTTCCCCCAATACCTCTTGATAAACAGTGGAGTTTTATATTAATACAGCTTTAATAAATTTACTGACTGGTGGTCTTCTTCCCACCCACCACCCACCCACCCCTGGCACCTAAATAGGTAAAAGACAATGATTTAAAAGCATATTGATTTAAATTATTGGCATTAATCTTTAGTGTCAGGAAACAGAAACCATAACGCTATTCAAAAGTCTCAAGTATAATTGGAAAAATGAAAAAAGACTCAATTAAGAAGTTTCAGAATGTACAAAAAAGAAATTAGCAGCTTTAACAGGAAGCAAATTAAAGGAGTAAAAAATAATAGGAGCAAACATAAAAGATCCGGGAAGGTCCTAAATACTAATGAGAAAATGGTACTCCAGAAAGCATCTTTTCCAATGCAAAAAAGGATCAGTACATGTTAGTTTTAGCCTAATAAAAATGTGTTTTCTAAGTAATCCCTTTTTTCATAGTTTCCAGTAGAAACATCTAGTAAGTCAATATTTTATACTGGAGCAATGCTTAAAGACTCTCCTCACTCCACAGTCACAGACAGACAAAGAAGGCTACATAAGCAGATCTACTGCAAAGAATTAGAAAGCCATAGATATGAAGAAAGACTCCATCTAACAGCATTCTGGAATCTCGCCCAATAAATAAAATATTGTAATCTCCATCTTAAATCCGAGGTCCTTCCTCAAACTTTTTGAATAAATAGCAATTTGGCTGCTTTAAGGATTTGCCCTATGTTTACAAAAGGGCTTTCTCATATTAGAGATGCCTGCCTCACACTCAAACTCCAGCAACAACAATGGCATCAACACTGCTGGTTTTGTTTTCAGTTTTGGCTAAGGAGGTATTCTGAATCAAGTTTAGTTAATGTCAAAATATTTATTTAATGGTTAAACATATGTGCTATGCATCTTGCCTAAAAGAAACTCTAAGCAGCTTATTGTCACAAAAACAGCTCTGGTGGAGCAGTGCTTAGAACGCACTACAGGTAGCCCTTGCCTTAGGACCACAATTGAATCCAAAATCTCTGTTGTTAAGCGAGCCAATTGTTATATGAGCTTTGTCCCATTTTATGACCTTTCTTGCCACCGTTGGTAAATGAATCACTGCAGTTGTTCAGTTAGTAGCAAGCTTGTTCAATGAATCTGGCTTCCCCACTGATTTTGCTTGTCAGAAGGTTGCAAAAGGTTCTCACATGACCCTGGGATATTGCAATGGTCATAATTATGAACCAGTTGCCAAGCATCTGAATTTTGATCACGTGACCATAAGGATGTTGCAACGGTCGTATGCGTGAAAAACAATTATAAGTCACTTTTTTTCAGTGCCGTTATAACTTCAAACCATCAATAAATGAACTGTGGTAAGTCGAGGGCTATCTGTATTGCAGGCTAACTCTGCCCACAGCCAGGAGTTCAATTCTGACAATCTGGAGGTTGACTCGGCCTTCCATCCTTCTGAGGTCAGTAAAATGAAGACCCAGATTGTTGGGGGCAATATGTTGACTCTGTAAACTGCTTAGAGGGGACTATAAAGCACTCTGAAGTGGTATATATATCTAAATGCGAAGTGCTAAAAACAACAAGATAAAACATTAACATGTAAAAAGAATAAATATTAACACTAAACTAATTTAAAATTGAGTTGATGGGAAGGAAGAGAGCAAGATATAGAAGCATAACTCAATTTTTGTTAAAACGATACTCGTCTTTTATTAAATAGTTTATGTCTGTATTGTTTAATTAATGTTTGTTTTTTTCTTCAAATCTAAACCGTGTTGTACCGAATTAATAAACAGGAGATTAGAGACCGGTCATTTCAAAGAATTGTAGAATCAACTATAATACTGTAGTAAAGAAGGACTTTCGATTTTTCGATATAATACTACATCAACTTACTTCAAGTGGTCCAAGGTTAGCCTTTGCATTTTGACCATTTCATTGTTGCACGTTCGATCATAGAATGGATTACTACGCTCTGAGAAATAGTCCAATACACTCCCACTGTTTAATATTGGAATCCATGAACTATCAACCCAGGAAATTCCCAGCAGATTATCTGTAAAAGTGGAATGATGAGCAAGGGAGAAGCAAAGTAAGAGGAGAAAAGAGAAAAACATAGTTCGTGTTCAGAAAAACGAATGACAGTTAAAAAAAAAAAAAAAGTTTAACCAACCTGAGATATCCAGTGCAAAAACTTACAAATTAATGACACTAGCGCAGGGGTCTTCAAACGTGGCCCTTTTATGACTTGTGGACTTCAACTTCCAGAATTCCTTAGCCAGACATGCTGGCTGAGGAATTCTGGGAGTTGAAGTCCACAAGTCATAAAAGGGCCAAGTATGAAGACCCCTGCACTAGTCTAAAAATAACACAGTAAGTTCTCTCTTTATGTAAGCTGAGGATCCATAGTCTGCTCACTGAAGCATCTTTAAACAATACTGTATATTAAAAAAAAATATTTAAGCTATCATTGTACATTTTTGTTTTGGCTCCAAAGCAGACAATATAGAAACTTGCTGAGGTCAAGCATATCTGACACAAATACTGCAACTTGTACTTGTGGTCTTGAGTTCTATGGAAGTAAAAAATAAACAATGCATCGAAGTGATAAATAACATCAATGCAGAAATATTTGAGGAAAGAAAACAAATTCAAAGCCACACTGCCACTCCATCACCTATACCAATACATTTAGAATATTATTTCACTCCAGTGGTTTCTATGTCTAACAGGATGCCATAGCAAGATATAAGAAAGAAAATGTGGCACTGGAAATTTTAGCTTATAAAAATGATGGGAGTAGTGAACGCAATAAAGATTTATAAATTTGACCATTGTTTAGACAGATTTTCTTTCTTTTCTTATAATACCTAAATTCAGAGTAACCTACTGAATTTGCCTGGATAAAAGAGTCTTTTTACATAACGTAGCCTCTATATTCAGGAAACATATCTTTCTTGAACGTTGCAAAACTCAATCGAATATGAGTCCTACTCCATCATACTCTGCTAGTTCAAGGAGGAAATCTGTTTTGAAAAAAGGATTGGTAGTAGGATTGCTCTTTATACAATGGTGTCTTCACCAAGTCATCCTGATATGTCATAGCTACAAATAACCAGGCAATTTGAAACATTCACAAGATGCTAAGCAGCATTACTGATAGGGACAAAAGAACATAAGAAGGGAAGAAATGGGGTGATCAAAATTAAATGTAGGTGGCCGGCAGCATTTTATATAAGTTATGTTTCAGGGGCTGCAAATGATTCCAGAATGTAAACTGGGTCTCCCTTCCCTCCTTCATATTTCTGTTGTTATATTTGTTCAATTCCACCAAGCTCTTTGGAATCTTCAAATAACATGGCATTCCTAAAAAATGTTACATATTGGCAATAAAATTAAAAAGAAGTACTGCATTATTATAGTCTAGTAGCGTAACATATCTCGGGGCAACTGCAATATAAAAATAAAATTAAGGGAAAAGGACATGATACTTAAGGCCATTTTAAATCTAAAAAAAAATATTATCTGTGATTTTTCAGTGAAAAAAAATACTCTTAATATGTATAGAAAAAGGGAATACAGAAGTGTTCCAATTCAATATAAGAAATATATTTTAGGGACTTCCGGTGGCAGGCGATTTCGCTGGTCGCAGCTGTTTGCTGCCTCCCGCCTGTTTTGCGTAAAAGCCGGTTTGACAGCCAGCATCTGCTGTCAAACGGCTTGATACCTTTCCCCTGGGCATAAGGGGATCGGTGAGCTGCCCGGGGTAGGAGTTGAGTTCCCGAGTCATCCTGTATGGACGATGTAGGCGAGAACTCCTCCGGAGCCCCGAGGATTCTCCGCGATCCAGGACGCCTTCGCTTCGGCGAAGCAAGAAACCGCCGCCGCCGCTGCAACTTGAAGTTAACTTGTGAGTTTACTTGTAAGCAGACGAACCAACTTTGGAAGCTTGCTTTTTATTTTGGACTCTACTTTAACTTTTATAACAAGTTTNTTGAGTTAAAAACAATTTTGCTATGAGCAGAAAATAATTTATCAAATACAGACATAACAAATTAATTACAAACAAAAAAAGAAGTTTAGATTTGGCACAACATGGCTTAATTATTTGTCCTCTAATCTCTGGCCAGTAAAGTTTCTTAACATCTTAGTTGATATTATGACATCATTTCTTCCTGAAAGCTAAAAAGCTAGTAATACTACATCAACTTACTTCAAGTGGTCCAAGGTTAGCCTTTGCATTTTGACCATTTCATTGTTGCACGTTCGATCATAGAATGGATTACTACGCTCTGAGAAATAGTCCAATACACTCCCACTGTTTAATATTGGAATCCATGAACTATCAACCCAGGAAATTCCCAGCAAATTATCTGTAAAAATGGAATAATGAGCAAGGGAGAAGCAAAGTAAGAGGAGAAAAGAGAAAAACATAGTTCGTGTTCAGAAAAACGAATGACAGTTAAAAAAAAAAAAAAGCTTAACCAACCTGAGATATCCAGTGCAAAAACTTACAAATTAATGACACTAGCGCAGGGGTCTTCAAACGTGGCCCTTTTATGACTTGTGGACTTCAACTCCCAGAATTCCTCAGCCAGGCATGCTGGCTGAGGAATTCTGGGAGTTGAAGTCCACAAGTCATAAAAGGGCCAAGTATGAAGACCCCTGCACTAGTCTAAAAATAACACAGTAAGTTCTCTCTTTATGTAAGCTGAGGATCCATAGTCTGCTCACTGAAGCATCTTTAAACAATACTGTATATTTAAAATAAAATATTTAAGCTATCATTGTACATTTTTGTTTTGGCTCCAAAGCAGACAATATAGAAACTTGCTGAGGTCAAGCATATCTGACACAAATACTGCAACTTGTACTTGTGATCTTGAGTTCTATAGAAGTAAAAAATAAACAATGCATCGAAGTGATAAATAACATCAATGCAGAAATATTTGAGGAAAGAAAACAAATTCAAAGCCACACTACCACTCCATCACCTATATCAATACATTTAGAATATTATTTCACTCCAGTGAAATAACAGGATGCCATAGCAAGATATAAGAAAAAAAATGTGGCACTGGAAATTTTAGCTTATAAAAATGATGGGAGTAGTGAACGCAATAAAGATTTATAAATTTGACCATTGTTTAGACAGATTTTCTTTCTTTTCTTATAATACCTAAATTCAGAGTAACCTACTGAAATTGCCTGGATAAAAGACAGTCTTTTTACATAACGTAGCCTCTATATTCAGGAAACATATCTTTCTTGAACGTTGCAAAACTCAATTGAATATGAGTTCTACTCCATCATACTCTGCTAGTTCAAGGAAGAAATCTGTTTTGAAAAAAGGATGCTTAGTCTTTGGTAGCAGGATTGCTCTTTATACAATGGTGTCTTCACCAAGTCATCCTGATATGTCATAGCTAAAAATAACCAGGCAATTTGAAACATTCACAAGATGCTAAGCAGCATTACTGATAGGGACAAAAGAACACAAGAAGGGAAGAAATGGGGTGATCAAAATTAAATGTAGGTGGCCGGCAGCATTTTATATAAGTTATGTTTCAGGGGCTGCAAATGATTCTAGAATGTAAACTGGGTCTCCCTTCCCTCCTTCATATTTCTGTTGTTATATTTGTTCAATTCCACCAAGCTCTTTGGAAGCTTCAAATAACATGGCATTCCTAAAAAATGTTACATATTGGCAATAAAATTAAAAAGAAGTACTGCATTATTATAGTCTAGTAGCGTAACATATCTCGGAGCAACTGCAATATAAAAATAAAATTAAGGGAAAAGTACATGATACTTAAGGCCATTTTAAATCTAAAAAAAATATCTGTGATTTTTCAGTGAAAAAAATACTCTTAATATGTATAAAAAAAGGGAATACAGAAGTGTTCCAATTCAATATAAGAAATATATTTTAGCATTATTATTTAACCCAGGATTCTCATAGTAACTATTCTACAGCAGAGTTTTGAGATGGAAGCTTTGAATCAACCCGAAATCCAACCTAAACTGTGATATATGGTTGCATAAAATATGCATATGCTGCTTCAGAAATCTTTTAGAAAGCAAAACCCAGAAGGCTGGGAAGCCACGCTTAATGCAGCATAAATAGGTCTATGAATAATACATATGCTGCTTTCTAGCTCTTGGAAGACAATACACAGTCATATGTAAAATACATCTGCTCCATTCCTTTCTATGAACCAGATTTTTTCCCCCACTGGAGTAAATTACTTCTTAAAAATAATTAAAATAAACATTATAGAAGCATCCAAGATAGGACAGTTTAACACAGGAGTCTTCAAACTTGGCCCTTTTATGACTTCTGGACTTCAACTCCCAGAATTCCTCAGCCAGGCGTGCCTGGCTGAGGAATTCTGAGAATTGAAGTCCACAAGTCATAAAAGGGCCAAGTTTGAAGACCCCTGGTTTAACAGAAACCTCCACTGACATTTATTTAGTAAACAAACATTTATGTGACATCGCTTTTTCATGAGCCATAATGGTTACTCTCAGGTAGTCTGCCCATTATGGATTAAGTTGCGATGGTTTAATAACCTTTTTTGTCGTGGTCAGTAAGTGAACCCATGTTTTGCTTTTGGCTAGCTTTGCTGAAAACTGAAAATAAACAGCGGGTTTTGGCAAAACCATTGTAAAAATGGGACCATGTGACCATGGATAAAATGCAGCCTGACTACTAAATTCCCAACTTGCAGTCATGTGACTGCAGAACTGTAGAAACTTTGAATCCAGGTCGTAAGTACTCCTCCCTAGGTAAGTCCACCATGACTTCAAATGGTCACTAATCAACTGGTCATAAGTCAAGAACTACCTGTAGTTGAGTTCCTGGGTACAATTCAAGGTACTATTTATTGTCTATAAAGTTCTTGAAGGATCAGGCCATGGATGTTTAAGGGAACCTCCTTCAATAATTATGTCTTTTATCCTGTAAGACCTAGCAGGGTGGGCATGCTCTGGCTTCCAATATCAAACAATGACATCTTGTGGGAACCCAGAGACATTCCTTTTCTGTCATTGCTCTGGAGTAGATTCTCTCCTCCAGGTCTGTTTGGGCCTCATTCTAATAAAAAAAAAAGACTGATTTGTATTCTGAAACAGAAATTCAGGATCAGATTAATACTAACCAATGAGTATCAGGTGCTTTTTCTTTAAAGATTTCTTTGATTATTTCTGAACTCTAAATTTATGACTTGCATTAAATTACAAAAAAAAGCACCCTAATTTAAAATTAATTCTAGTTTGCTTGATCTTGGAATATGTCAGAAATATGGGGTTTGTTCTTTCCAGACCTAAAAGTTTGTCTATTCTGTAATTATAGCTTTTGTATAGTATTTATTAATAGTGAGTGATCTGATGAACTGACTTTCTTGCCCTTTTCACCACTACAAAACTGGAAGAAATTTCTCTTCTTTATATCGGTAGAGTCAAAGTTTGATAGATGCCTCGATTGTGAGTATGCTTTGATTCTCAGACTGTTATTTTCTGTCCATTCCTTTTAAAATCATTTCTTCCTTTTGGTTCATAAAGAATCTTGAGCACTTGAGTATTTCAAACATAATATAATGCATAGTGGACACTTTCATGATTTAGAAGAAATTAACAAAAAACAAACAAAACTCTTCAGAATAAATGAATCAGCAGGAAAAATACAAAAGCTGATTTTTACCTAATAATCTAACCATGGTTTGTTTTAATCATAGTCTGAAGAAACTATAGTGACCTGATTCACTATACATTTTTCTTCATGAAAAACGTGGAGCCGGATTTAAAAATACATTCAGGCTTAGGTCTAGATATTGTATTAAAACACGATTGGTTTTTTAAACATCTATAATAACCAATTATGGCTTTGTCAAAACACAGACACACACATACTTTAATGCAATGTGTAATCCAAATCAGAAACTAGATTGATCCATTTTTTTTGTAAATATCAATGATCAAACAACTGATTGATCCTTATCAATGTTAGGTATCTACTCTAGCAAGCCAAGAATGTACAAATATTAATCCCTAACCCAATGAAATAGCAGTTAATCTACTTTGCTTAAAATCCTATCTTTCTGCCAGCCAACAGCAATCACCATGAAATAGAAACAAATTTTAAAATGCAATTAACTGAGATTTATTTTCATATGTGGGAGATAAGGAGAAACATATTAATACAAAGAGAAAGCAGCAACCACAAAAGCTTAATTACTAAATTATTTTTCCTTACTGGCAACCATTCAATGGGGAAAATTCTATAAGTTTGTTATTAGTTTTAATATATATTTTATTTTTATTTACATTTGTTTATTCAGTGGCCATTTGATGAAATTTGGATTCTCAATGGTATAGCACAGGGATGTCAAACTGCCGGCCCATGGGCCAGACACATCATGAAGAAACCACACCCACCCCATTGCCGGCAATTGGGAAAAGCTCCGATACATCGCACAACGTCACGTGACATCGCGAGTTTGACATGTCTGGTATAGCATAATTAGTTCAGCAGCAGCTGTTTTAATATGGTCACCTGCTCAAAAACAGAGAAATATTCTAGAAACATAACATGTTACATTAAAGGCCCCTGCACATATTATCCTTGAATCAATTGTTGTCTGACAATATATAACAAAGTAAATTAATACCTAAAATCTTTCTCTCTTCCTAAAGTTATAACAATTTTATCTTTATCAGTTTCAACGCATGTGAAAGTTAAACATGATACAGAGCAAATATAGGTGCATCCAAGAAGTGAACCAATTATCTTAATTGGCCATTACACAAAATTTTGCAACTATACAAGAAACTTCAACCAATTGATTATTCAGGAGAAATGTAACAGTATATAAATAGTATGACAATACAACTACTGTATACATGTTTCATTAACATCTAACGAACTTTAAAAAAATAAAACAGTTGTAGCAAGTTTTGCTGTTCTCTGACCTTACATCTGCTGTGTATCAGTCTCACCCTCCTAAGTAGCTCTTGAAATTGAACCCAACACTTCAAAGCACGAACATTTGAATCATTAGTTGAACTCAGTCAGTATTATATAATCTGAATTTATTCAATTTGATTTATGTGCAATCTTAATCTAATTTCCACAGGTTAGAAAATATAAATACTATTTCCGCATTGCAATCAACAAATTAAACCAACATGTCATTTGTTTAGAAGAAAACTAGTATACAGGACTTCTTTATACAGTTTTGCTCACCAATATTAGTCAGAATGCACGACTATTATGGTTTCTCCCCCTCCTCAAAGCTAGAGATTAACTTGAAATCGGAAAGAAATCTGAATGGATCTGAACATCTGAAGCCTTTCCGGTGGAGAAACTATCCTAGTTCTTCGATTTTTTAAAATAGAATAGCCTACGATCACGGAATAGTAGCGAGGAGTTGGTATTTTGTGGCTTTCCGTGTCGACGCGGCTCATGAAAATACTCCATGCCTTTGATAGAAGTGGACAATAGCCCAGGAAAATGTGCTTTAGAAAAATACTAAAATAAATAAGTAACTAAGCAAGCAAAAGGTGGTCCTCCCAGTTCCGTAGGGATCGTTCCTGTTTATACCTAAGTACCAGGCAGCTACAACTACCCGATGCTATTCCCCTCCAATACCTCTTATATCGACCGCCGCCATGATTCAGCTCCGCGCGTCGCGGCCACTCTCTCCTGGACGCGAAACTATGACCCATACAAACCATAGAGAAACAGCGCTTAGACCGATCAAAAGGGAGAATCAGCGCTTGCCTAGACTGACGAAAGAAGGGCTTGTTGCGCATGCGTGTTTGTTGCTTCATGTGTCCAGGCAACTGCAGAATACGGCACGGTTACTATAGGAACGCTCGCAGCGTAATCAAGCATTGATTCAAAAAGGGTTTCAAATAAAAACGCTATGAAAGATTTTCATCGTAGTTCTCAGGAAATGCTGGGCCTTACAGCATGGTGATAAGTACTTTTGTTCCAATATAAAGTGACCGAAGTATATAGATTTTTGCAATCTTGGTAATTAAGCCTCATCTCACTTCTGTACCTTTTTAGATGGATAGGAGAGCAACTCCATCATTCCCGATCCACCAAGCACAGCTACGAATCTTACTTAATAGTATCTGGAGGTGGGGAAGCCGTCCTAGTTTAACTAATAATGATATACGCTGGGCATGACTTTGATCAACCAATTTAAACGTTTTTGTAAAATTATATTGTGCAGTTGGTTAGGTGTGTGGGAAGTCAGCGCCCCCCCCCCAGAAGGAAACATTAAAAAGGGAGAATATTATGTTTCCTCAAAGAATCTTAAAAGAGGCAGAAAAGCATGCCTAGTTTTTTTCTTAATAGCACCAAGTCTCCCTCCCCCAAGCAGAAACCAGCTCTGTAGAAATGCAGATGTAAATAATCCAGGAAGGTTGGAGGCCCCCAGCTAGAAGCTTAGGAAGACAAAGACACCTAAAATCTACATACCCCACCCAAACTCTAAGACAGTGTTGCGTTCTGAGCCTGCAGAAGCAGGCTCGGGACGCTGCAAGAGTCCCGGGCATTGCAAAAGCTGCCCGGGACCAGACTGAGTGGTGCCAGCCTTGCGTGTATGCGCAAGGCGGGAAAAAGGGTGCCTGCTATTGGTTGTTGTTGCCCGGGGATCCGGGAGTATAAAAGGAGGCCTGCGTGCCTCTGCTCTTGTTGGTTGGTTGTTGTGACTGAGAGAAATAAAGATCTGTTCTGTAACATGAATTGCCTCCTTTGCCATTTATCCAAAGACTTAACAGACAGGACATAATAGGATTAACTCATGGATACCCAAGGGCACACTCAGACTCAGGTCAAAATACATGACACAGGAAATACAAAGCCTCAAACAGGAACAGAAAACAACCTCAAGAGCCCCAGAGGGTATAAAAACCCACTCCCTATATGCACTCTCTCTCTTTTCTTCCAGAGCCATCTTTCTGTCTGGCTCTCCTTTTCAATAAACTGCAACCTTCTTTCTAAAGCAGTCACCATGTTGTTTATTCCCGGCTTGGACTGAACCATGATGAAGACTCTTCCTTCAACGGGTGGATGCAAGTGAACGGTTTGAAGTTCATCTTTTTTTCATGATGCAAAATTCCTGGGCCAAGGAAATTCAAATTACCTGATTATTGTGAACAGACACTAGAACAGGNAAAAAAAAAATTGGAAAAAGATAAAGGTACATTTTTGTATTCCTGGCAAGAAAACTAAGTGAATGAATTCGTGGACTAATCAGGATTTGAGACTGTCTTGAAGTTACCTTTTGTACTATACAACTTGCTACAGTCTTTACCTCCTCCCGGGGAAACCCCTCCAGGACTATGTAGCAGGATTTCATAAACCGAAATAATGATGAATAAAAACACTCAGGAGAACAATACTCTTCAGAGATTATAATGTAATTTCTCTTATTGCTAAGGGAAATGATATGGCCCAACATTTGAGCTGAGCTTATATAAGGATTAGGGACAATCAAAGATAGTTAAAGTAAAACCCAGTGGAAATATCTATGCAAATAATGCCACAGAAGGCCATGCAATCATAATTGCAAAACACAAAGATTAGTTTTGCCTAACCAATAGAACTTTAAATATTCCTGAGCAACATGCAATAATGTACTTGTTTACACATCTTTAACCATGGTTTACCGTGCTGTGGTTTGCTGATTAAATTGGCATTTTAATTGGCTAGGAACAGATAATATAGTAATGCTTGGTTCAAATAGATTTAACCCAAACCAAACAAGCCACATGATTTAGCATATTGTATAAACTCAGTCAACACCTGTCCATAATATACTAAATTATGGTCTTCGGAATCAAATGTACTACAGGAACCCTGTCAATTATAATATATTCAAAGAATCTTATTTAAGAAACCAAAGTAATCTTGTGAACGTAGGCATTCTGGTTTATGTCAACAGAATGTGATTATAAACATGAAAACCTTAAGTAAAAACCATTTTGAGCAACAGTAATTAACAACTATTGGTTCTAACTTGCCTTTTAAATTTTGCTTCTGTTCTAGTATTGTTAACAGTAATTGGATCAATAGATTTTTTACCATGAAATAATTCCTGTTTGCACATTGTTAAAAGCTACATTTGCTTATTTATAATGTATCTGACAACAAAAGCATGGCTAACTTCCCAGTGATTTGGTGCCAGATCCAACAAACCAAGAATGACCTCAGTTTGCCAGAAGGGGGTATCTTGGGCAGCATACCTGCAACTTTGCAGCATCAAATCAATTGTTACTTTTTGCTTTTCTTTTTTAAGTGTTATAAATAAGTTTAAGTACTTGGGTGTAAACAGGAACAATCCCTATGGAACTGTGAGAACCAGCTAGCTTGCTTAGTTATTTATTTTAGTATTTTTTTCTAAAGCATGTTTTCCTGGGCTATTGTCTACTTCATTAGAGGCATGGAGTATTTTTGTGAGCTGTATAGATATAGAAATCTACAAAACACCAACTCCTTGCCACTATCCAGTGATGGTAAGATATTCACAGCCTAGATCTATTTTAAAACATCGAAGAACCTGGGTAGCTTCTGCACAATGGCTTAATTGTTAGAACCACTGAGGATAGATGGAAGGAGGATAGATGGAAGGATAGATGGCGTTTTTCTATTTCACATTCTTGTATACTCACAGAGCAGTGAACTAAAAAAGAATCAGTATAGTTAGAGGAACTTTATTGCAAAGGCATTCTAGCCTTTAATATCTATGTTAGAGCTTAGAAGAGAGCTAACTTCTTTTTTAAAAAAAGTCAAGCCTCTTTTCCAACTTCAGGCTAAGCAATGTCTCTAGAAGATGAAGGCAAATTATGCAATAAATATCTGAACTTAAACTATGTTTATTCAGAATTTAGTTATTAGCTATGTTTATATAATACACTCAATCACTTTAAAAACGAAATAAATGTATGCTTGATATATTATCCTAGTATTATATAATTTGTGAAGGTAGGTGTGTCATGTGTACTTACATCAGACTTTGGTTTCACATTCTGCTTTCTGTAGTCCAACAATGGCAACTGCTCTGCATTTGCATGACAGAATGAGTCTGATAAATCTTGTATTATGAGTAGAATGTGGGATAAGATGTCATAATATGGGTACTAATTTATTCTGTTATAGAGGCTTAGCATGAGAACCAGTTTGGTTCAGTGCTTAATGTGATGCCCCAGGAGTGGGGTCATTCCTTTTCAGCCCTGGGAAGAGCGTAGTGCAATAGTAAACTGCTTCTGAAAGTATTGCCTAGAAAACTGCATCGATTTGTCCAAGTTTGCTTCAAATGAAAAAAATAACGGAGAAGCATGTCATGCAAACACTGACATTTTTTCCAGGAGAACTTCCCACAAACAAGAAGCCTTGAGGAAATAGTTTTATGTCCTGTTCTGGTAAGACACTATCCTAAGTAAGTCAACAATTATGGTAATCTTTAAGTAAAAAATTAAGTGGACTTAATGGAATGTTTTGCTAAGCAAACCTTCTACTAACTTGGGCCAAATTGGAATTTTTAAAATAGTTTTTATTTCTTTTTTTGTCAGTTCAATATAGAATATATTTGGGCAGAATATAATTGGACAGAGCAATTTATCACAAATCTGTAAAAAGGAAAGCCACAGAAACATTAGGGTTGGATTAAGTCCAGTCCCCTATTTGGTAAAAGGAATCCACATTAAAGTAACACAGATGGATATCTAATTTCTTGTTTAAAACATCCAGTGAACAAGAGTCAATCAAGTCTCTGGTAAATTGTTCCACAGTCAAATTGCTCTTAATGTCAAAGCTTTTCTTATTTTTTAACATTCAATTGAAATTTACTTTCCTGTAATGCAGCCCCATTTTACATGTCCTGATTCTGAAATATTAATAATCTTCACCTTTTTTCTGTTTGACACTATTCAGCTGTCATAGACTTCTCTGCCTTCTCTTTTAAAGGCAAAACTTGCCCAGCTCTTTCATTTCAATCTAGTCTAAGTACTGAATTCATTTCAGCCTAACGATCTCCATATTAAATTTTCTACACGGTAAAAAATAGTTCTCATCTAAACATCTCACTTTGCCTGTTGTCTTCTTGTTCAAGACAATTTGCCTTCAATTCTCCTTCAACATCAGCTATATACTTTCAACATTCTTCCTAAGGGTCTACGGATACTAGGGGGGGAAAAACCCAGAAATCTAATTTGCTTAACTAGTTCTTTTACAGAAAGCCTTGCTTCCAACTGTCCTTTCCTGTTTGCTGGTTGCCTGGTTACCTCAACCTCTGTTTGTCTCCATTAATTTCCTTCCTAACCCCTTCTCTCCCTCCCCCACCCCCTTAATACATGATAAAGTTCAAACACACTACATTTTTCTCCTCTATGCCTCTCCGACACTGTCTCTTGGAGATTGCCAAGTGGCCAACATATGGAGCACAGTCTGTTGTTTTTCTTTTGTGACAAATCAGAAGCCATTTAATGACTTTTTCTCATTAATAGAGGGGAGATTTTACAGCTGAGGAGGCATAAAGTTTTATTTGGCACACCTACAAGCACAGTGCTAGGAGAGCCTCATATTAAGCATCTTAAAGGCAGATTTATGAGTCTTCAAGAGTGATTCCGTTGCTTCTGCATCAGGAATCTATGTATTAGCTTCTCAGTTTCCAGGGATGGATTTCCTGAATCCCCATCCTGAACTGGGGAGGTTTGATTTGCT